GCATAGTTCAAGCACACCAGTTCACAGTTCAAGTGTTCCAGTACATAGTTCTAGTCATCCAGTGCATAGTTCTAGTACACCTAAACATGGCTCAAGTTCTGTCCCTAAGTTTGATTCGTCTGAACCAAAGAAATGCCCACCTGAAAAGAAGGATGTTTTTGAAAAGTACAAAGAAAAATGTGGTACTCAAAAGAAAGATGTTTTCGCACAATATCGTGAAAAATGTGTTAAAAAGCGTGATGAATTTGGTGTGTTGAGAAATAAATGTGATTTACCTAAAAAAGAAGCTCCTGAAATTAAGATTTGGAAGAAAGAGCGTTGCCCAAGAAATTCTGATGAATTAGCTAATGCATCACCAGAAACTAAGCTACGATGTAAAAACATCAAATTTTAAAAGGTAACTATGTTGTTCGATTCCAAAATGTTTTTGAATTTATAAAAAATTGGTTTAGTTTTTATTATTTAAGAAAACGTCAATTAAGATGCAATAAATGATAAAGTCGTTGAAGTTTTTGCTTCTTATATTCTTTTTTTGCTCTTTTTGTCAAATCCATGAGTTTAGCAATTGTTTGGTCTAGTTGAGATTGATTAAAATTGAAATAAGGGTCTTTTGTTTTATTTAAACATTTTTTTATTTGTTTTAAACAATTTAATTTATATTTATATGATTCATAAATAAGTTCAGACTGTATTACATCTAATTTTCTTTTAACTTTTGGTTCAAATAATAATTCAAGTTGATAATTTTGATGAAGATTGTAGTTTGAAGGGAGTATTGGTGTTGTTGGTGTGTTTAATCTCAAAAATTGAGTTAAACTAATTGGGGTGATTGTTTCTTGTTCTTGAGATAAATTTATTGTTGATGTCTCACTAATTTCTTTTTTGATTAATGGTTGTGTAGTGATAGGGATTTGTTCAATTAATTCAGGGATAAAATGTCTACCTTCTAGCAAAGAGTTTTCGCTATAATATGTAGGACCATTCATAGTCAGTTTATTTGTTTTTCATAAAAGGGTCATTCATATACTACTTTCTTTTCATCTAAAAAAAGTTAATAATCTTAAATAAGTAAAAAGAAAGAATGGAAAGAACGATACTTAAATACCTTCAACAACCATCAAATGAAGGAAAAATAATTGGGTTGTTTGTATTAACAAAAAGGTATGAATTTATTATGAAGAAGAATAAAGATAAAACATTATTGTCTTTTAGTAGTGAATTTATTCAGTATTATAAAGCAATTGGTCCGACATTTTTCTGTAACTATATTGAACTTCTTGAAACCCAAAATGAGAATGAACCAACTTCAGAAATGTTAATAACATTATTACAACTGTTTATTCATTCAGATGAAGTAATTAATCATTCAATGAGTTATCCAATTACATTGTCCTTAGTTTCACGACTTTTTAATGAACCTTCATTACAACAATCATTACCAACAGTCTTAGTAATTCTTGGTGCATTATTTTATAATCCACAAATCAAAAAATCTCAAAAAATTAAAGAAATTCTTCCCAATATCTATTCAAAATTAGTTTTATGTGATGCTATTCATTGGTTCAGTCAAATTGTTACCATTCCAGAATACTGTACTAAATTTGCTCAATGTATTTCTAAAACCCCACAAATTGTTGTTCTCAAATTAATTCCTTGGATCAAATTATCGTCCATTAATTTAACAACAAAACAATGGCTTCTTTCTTTTTGTTGCAAGTTATTACCAAATAAATTAAGTGAAAATGATACAATTCAAATTACTAGTGTTGTATCACAATGTATTGATTCATCAAAAGATATTCTTTCTATTAGACCATTAGAATCTATTAAAGTTCTTATTTCCCGACTTAGTATAGAAGTTAGATCAAATCTTTCACTAAATTCAAAAAGGCTATATGAAACTAGTCAAATTATCGAATCTCTTATTATTATTTTGAATAATTTCATTCGATTTAATGAAGGTGATGAAATTGAGAATAATATTATTATACACTCAAGAGTAGAAATAGACCAACTTGCTAATATTTATTATCCAATGCTTCCAGTGCTTTATGATTTACAAACTGATGTTATTAGTTGGTTGCAAGAATGTATTTTAGAAGAGTCAACTATTAATGAAGTTATTTTAAATGAATCAAAGAGACAATTCCTTGTTCATCTATTTCAATTAGTTCTAACGGGTGCAGTATTAGTTCTTGATCTAAAGAAGAAAAATGAATTTGAAATAATTTTACCTCTATTAGAAGTTTTTAAAAAAAAGGATGATGATTTTAAAGTGTTATGGAATGCATGGGAAGCATTTAACGATGTAATTATTGAAAATAATTAAATTAATTATCAATTTCATGTTCATTTAATACATCATGGTCATCATTATAATCTAAATGAACAAATGCACGATCAACGTTGGGATGTTTTTCTAATTTTGTTTGTAAAGACTCACCAATATCATGAGCCTCCATCAATGTCATATTTTCTTCCAAGATGATATCT